CAGCCGGAGCCCGGGAGGGAAGCGCCCGGCCGGGGGCGCAGGGTCTGGAGGCTGCCCGGCAAACCGTGAAGCCGGTAGCGCTGGGGCAGCTCCGCTCTTCAGCTACACAGAGTTGAGGTGTCTGGAGGGAGCAGCAGCTCGCAGGGGTATCCGCCTGCAGCTCGCAGCCTGCCGGAACTGCTCAGGTAAGCAGGGGACTGGGGCAGGGATGCCGGCATTTTCCTGGACATGTTCAGCTTTTTGGCAATTCCCCCCGGACGGGGATTTGAGCACCAAAAAGCCGGACATGTCCGGGAAAATCCAGACGTACGGTAACCCTAAATGGTAGCCGCACCCCCATAGCTCTCATTGTTGAAGTCTCTTTGTGGTATCATGTCAACGGTATTGCTCAAGAGCCGAATGCATCCCTGACTGGTGAAGGGAAGCGGGACACTGGTGGTGCATCGTCAACTCTGGAATCCTGCTGAGCAGGGAAGGATTCCAGCGCAAGAGGGAAGCGGTGAATATGTGCACGGAGAGTGGGGGGGTGATGCACTTTGTTTCCTTAAAAAGGAACAGCATTTGCCCTGTGTTAGCTTGCATGAATGGCATGCTAGAGCATGCATGCTGAGGGGCCAGACCCTTAACTGGCCTCCCAAGCCCTCTTGGGCACATAGTGCGTCTCTCAGAACTGGAGTCAGTCCCCCTGGCGTGCTAGCTCCCTAATACCTTCTTCTCCATCTTCTCCTACCAAAACATTGCAGGATCCATCCTCCCTGCTATGTAGTGTATGTGTAACTGCCATTAGACTCAATGGGGAGTCACGTGCGCAGGTAAGGGGAGAACAGACCATCACAGGATCATAAACAAGTCAAAGGACTACAGAATTTCCAATCCCAGACATCGTATCCCACTCAGCACCGGTATGAACATACTAATGATGTCTCTTATCAGTACCCAGCATTCTGGGACTATGCGGCTGCATCCCATCTGTACTAGGGACCAGCAAGCCAGTTCCTAGCCCTGGTCTAGACTAGAGTTAGGTTGATGCAAGGTCTGCTTACTGTATTTTTCACTCCATGCATCTGATGAAGTGGGTTTTAGCCCACAAAAGCTTATGCCCAAATACATTGTTAGTCTCTAAGGTGCCACAAGGACTCCTCGTTTTTACAATATTGTGTTTATTTTTTGGCATGACTTTAACGCCAATGGGGCAGATCCTCAGCTGGTGTAAACAGGCTTGTCACACAGGGCTGGTCTAGGGCTGTGGTGATGGTGCAAACCTCTACCCCCGCCCCCCAGTGAACAGAACCCTGGAAAACATTAAAGAAGCAAAGGCCCCGTTTAGCATTGTCTGGGTACACCTCAGGAAGGGGTATGTCTGGCAGGTGTTGAGCAGGGCGAACCCCAGTGGCAGATCCTGCAGGAAGAGAGAGAAAGGCCCAGAAGGGTGAGGCTGTCAGGAAGGCTGCAGGGGGACAGGAAATCCCAGTGGTGGGACAGAAGTGAACAGACACTGCAGGAGGTGAAGTCTCTCGCTGTGGTGGGATGAAAGAGGACTTAGTGAGGAACCAACACGGTAAGCACGCGTGGGCTGGAGACAGTTGAGTTAGTACTGTTTGACTTGTCTCCATTTTGAGGACCCCAGCGGAAGGCTTAAGGACATGGGCACAGAAAGGGGGCCTGAAGATAGTGGGAATGTGGTGTTTACTTGTATGTCTGGGGACCAGTGGTGTTGGTACCCTGAAAGGGGTATGACTGAACGTGACCTGACCAAAGGGCTAAGTCATGGGAGGAAGTGGACCAACGTCAAGAGGGGCTGCTGAAAGGGATCAGAGGAACAAACTCTCCTATGCACAGTGGGTCACTCCTTCACAAGGCTCCATTCATGAGAATGCAGGCAAGGGTCTGTCCATAAATTACTTAATGCATTAGGTCCTTAATTTTGCATGTTTGTTTCAGTGTTACAAGAGGTGGGGGGGGTCTTGACAATAACAAAAAAATGTGTTGTGTAATCTGTGGACAGCCCCAAGGCAATGGAGTGATGCTGATTTATACCAGCTGAGGAACAGGACCCACGTAACGCTTCCAGACCCTTCCAGACTACAGGTAATTGATCCTCAAGCCCGCTTTTGCGGTTGGTACACCTTATTATCCTCACGCTGCAGATGGGAGAAATTCAAATTGCAAAGTAAAGTGACTTGCCACAGAGGTTGTCAGTGTCAAAACCAGGATGAGACACAGCTGCTCTGGGAAGTCTAACTTTCAATTTCCTGGCTTTTGTACTTACTACAAAACCTATACCATAACATTAACTTCATGCGGGGCAAGGAACAGGGAACACTGTTGGGTCCTGTGCATTTGCAGCATTGACACCTGGGGAGTTTCACATAAATGGCCACTCTACCATAGCTGCAGAGGTGAAAGTAAGCCGGTCCGGTCCGGCGTACCGGCAAGAGCCAGGACGCCGTGCCGGGCCGCACCGGCTTCCGCGGCAGGGATTTAAAGGGCTCTGGGCTCCCTGCCCTGCGGGGAGCCCAGAGCCCTCGGAATCCCACCCGCAGCTCGGCGCCCAGGCTGGAGCCGGGATTTAAAGGGCCCGGAGCTCCCGCCGCAGCGGGGAGCCCAGAGCCCTTTGAATCCCGCCCGCAGGTCCGGCAGCTGGGCCCGGGATTTAAAGGGCTCAGGGCTCCCCACAGCCACAGGAGCTCCAGGCCCTTTAAATCCCGACCCCAGCCTGGCAGCCTCTGCAACTTCCTCAAAATCCACTGAGGCCAAAGCCTGAACCCCACCACTTGTAACTTAGCTTCGCAGGCCCCGGGCAATTGCCCTGTTTGCTACCCCTTAACGCTGGCCCTGTATACATAGCCATGATTTATTGTTTATGTCCCATATCCTGCCCGTGACTTTCAATAAAATACCCTTGCCAAAATCGTGGCCCTACCCATTAGCAAAACTACTGAGACAATGCAACAGGAGAAGGAGCAAACCTCATCCTTGCTGGAGCAGTGAAGCTGGAGAGACATTCTCTGTTCCTTGAATCCTGCTGGAGAGTTGCTTCAATTGACCTACAGCCCCAGTTACATACATTATCACCACCACGATGGTGGCTGAGCTCTCTCAAACTACTTAATTTCCACCCCCTATTTCCACTTAAAGCCTGATTCTACAGTAAAACTATGCCCCGACAATTTGGAGGCCTAGCACTGCAACAGGCAACGCCTGCATTTGCATGTACTCCCATACTCTGATTAAGGCTACGCAGCATGACAGGTATGGGAAATGTATGCTCAGAGGAGACGGGAAACCACAAGATTAGTGGTGTCCCCGGCAGGCATGGGGAGAGAATTTAGTGCTAGTGAAAGGTGACAGTCAATTTGACCTCTCTACTTAGTCACAGAACAGATACAGCATGGAAGCGGCAGTGCAAACTTCCCCACCTGCCTCAAAGCTGGAGGGACCCCCCGTAGGCATACAGAATGGTAGTTTAACCTCCAGGGTCCATTTTAAACCTGGGTCTGCCACCTGTGGGACCAGCTGTGGGATTTTTGTAACTTGGTTACTTGCTGAGCAGGAGCTCTTCAGACCCTGCTCATTTCACACAGGGCACTGAAAAGGCATTAGATGTTAACAACCAAGTTACTGATCTGGCCTGGATTCAAGCCAGTGAGGTATACGCTAAGGGTGAAATCACCCCAGTGCATAGGGCCTAGTTGCCAATGAGATTTGACTGGCAAAAACAGGCCTCATGCTAGCCCTCCATGAGTGTAGGGTGACCAGATGACAGGAAGAAAATATCGGGACGGGGGGGCTCGTGCTGGCTGAGCAGGAGAGAGAGAGAAAAAAAAAAAGCTAAGTGCTGCTGGCAAAGCAAATATCAGGACAAAGTGCGCCCCGATCAAAGATCGGTCGGGACGCGGGACAAACACTTAAATATCGAGACGGTCCCGATTTTATCGGGACATCTGGTCACCCTACGTGAGTGAATAGTTGTACCAGCAGCACAGCCATTCAACTCAGTGACAGCAGAGGATCCTGAATTGTGGTCCCAGTCAGTCATACACAAACACAGGGCAAGAAGGAAGGGGAGAGTGAACACAAACCCAATCACGAGGCATGGCTGGAGGAGAAAGCCAGAAGAGCCCTCAATGGACCACGTTTGAATTCAAGGTAGTATCCCTGGTCAGGTACCTGCACAGGAGCTAGTGCCCAGCCCCTCTCCATGCACCAGCATTTTAAAGTTGGGCAAAACCTAGCAGCAGACGCCAGCTGCGCTTTCTTGATGTTCATACACTTCAGATTCTGCAAGGAAATGAAACTCCTTCTCTCAGAGCGGTCAGTAGGAATCCTGTGATTCACAGGACAACATGCTCTCTCTTGTAGAAAGCCTCCACCTGTCTCTTTGGTACCCCCCACTTCCAGTGCACCGGCCCACAGACAGGTGTGGATAATGAGCATCTGCGGAAGGGGTTGCGAATTTCACTGTCTCAAGTAAGGGTCCATCAGCGACGGCTTGCATGGGAAGTTGAGGTGCAGCAGGAGAAGGAAAGTATATGAGAAGGCAACTGGTGACAACAAGGATGGAGAAGAGCACAAGGGGGTCAGGCATCTGAGGCCTCATGCCTCATTTCCAAAAAAGACTGAATAGTGCATTTGAAATTCCACCCTCCAGACTAGCCTTAACTAGCCAGTTAAAATTCCTACGTAAGAGAAAGCTAAGCATGAAGTTTACTGTTGACTTTGTGGCTGAATGAAGTGATGCTCTACAATCTCTCCACCCTGCTCGACTCCTATTTCCGCAGATGCTTATAGAATAGGAAAGCCACAACAGAAGTGAAAGCAGCAACGGCAGCTGGCAGTATATAGTCCTTCAAGGGAAAGGATGTCCCATCCCTGTCTCGCCTTGGCCGGTTATCGTTCTGGGGGGAACTTCCTGGAGGGGCTTCTGAATTCCAAGGTGAGTCGGAATATCCGGAGAGCCTCCTGAGGGAGCCAGAGCTGGCCGGAGATGGGTTTTCGTAGGCATTGGCTACACCCCGCAGGCCGGGAGCCTCCCCCAGCTCAGCACTAGGATACTCAACCACATGGACTTCGTGAGTTCCCACAGCTGTGCTATCCCAGGTGCTGCTGTTCTCTGGCGGAAGGCAGACTCTGCTGGTTTTGGTAGCCTCGTCTCTTCTTGGGCCATTGCCGGCAGCCCAAGGTTGGGGGCGGTGGTCAGAGCGAGAGGAGTAGTGATTCTCTTCAGGCTGATTCCTCTGGGCTCTGCTGGAGCTGGAACAGGCACTGCTGGATTCGCTTATCATTAGGGGATTGCTGTCCGGAGAGCACTCGCTGCTGAGGATGAAGCGATCAGACCTCCCAGAATACTGGACATTGGTCTCGGGTGACTCTGGCTGCCTCGTGGCTGGCTCCTCCACGCCTCCAGTGGAGATTAGCACGCCTGGCTTGCTGAGCACCACCTCTTCATCCGGCTCACTGTAGAACACTTGGCAGCCCCTAGGGGGGCCTGGCAAGGCGTTTTGGGTCTCCCACCCTGCCTCCCTTGCGGTGGTGCCAGCTGGGCTCCCAGGGATCCCTGGGCTGGTTCGGGTCACACTCGGAGCAGGGGGCTTTGGCGCTCGATTTGCCTTCAAGAGACAACAACAGGGACTAGTTAGACACAAACTGAAGCATGTCACTGGAAGCACTGATGGCACCCACCTCCTGCTTCGGGGCCGAGTGCTGCAAACCCAGCTTCAGTCTGCCCCCAGGCTAACAGCAATCCCTCCCAACACTGCGTGGCTCAGAAGGAGGGGTTGTAGCCAATGTTCCCTTTAATGTTTTCCATCCATGTGCGGAATAAATTTTGTTATGTGCACCGAGGTATGTGTGGCTCTGTGCCACCAGTAGAAACAAAAATCTTAGATAAAATATATATATTTAAAAAGTTACCATAGGGATAGTTTCTCCAGCCAGGACAGGTTAGGCATTATAGAACTCACTACTCAAAGAATTACATTTAAGTGTAACAGAAATAAAAATTATGAAATGCATAGACCAGTCAAAACACTAAAATAACACACTTGGAAAGAATAAAATTACAGAGAATATATGTGCATTGCAGGAAGTACCAATAATAATAAAGGTATGTGTTGGGAACTGAGTGTGAAAGAGTGTGTGTGTGTGTGTGTGTGTGTGTGTGTGTGTGTGTGTGTGTGTGAGAGAGAGAGAGAGTGTGTGTGTGTGTGTGTGTGTGTGTGTGTGTGTGTGTGTGTGCGCGCGCGCGCTGGCTGCTGGGGAAAGCCAGGCACTGTCTCTTTAAGACACTCACTGAACGCTCTGAGGCCTCCTGAGCCAGGCTGTCCCCTCTGCCCTGCTCTGCGGAGATGGGGTACAGGGGCTGGGGGAGGGGGCCACCCCGTCATCAGCATCCTCCTCCCCCCCATCCCACCCCCGCTCTGCACAGCCAGCAGGAGGGTCCCGGGAGCAGCTGCAGGATGGAGCAACGTGGGGGAGGGGCACCTGAACACAGGCTGCCGGCTGTGCCCACTCTACTAATCAGCTGGGCGGCATTTGAATCTCTCCTGCGCGGTCGCCCAAGTGCGCAGCTTACAGGGAACATAGGTCGTAGCTAGCTCCCCTCGGCTGAGGGATGGGGAGAGGAGTTATCAGGGCTCTGGAGGACCCTTTGGGCTGGGGAGGGTGAGGAAAAGGTGGAAGAAGGGTAGATAAACTGGGGGGAGGGCGGGGACTGAGCCACTAGCCGCTAAAACGAGCACGAGGCTGGAGGGACTGATTTACAAACAAAGGGGAGAAGAGTTAACGGGCAGCTTGGCTGGGGCAAATCTCCACTTCCCTTGTCTGCAAACAGGGTCTTGCCCCATGGCAGCCACACCAACGGCTGCAATCGGGGCCACTTCCAAGCATAGACAAGGCCCTGGGGACAGCCAGGAGGGAGGTTCGACACCTGATCCAACAAACATTTGCAAACTGTAACCACCAAGGCGGGAGGGGAAGTATTCAGTGCAATGCGCAGGAGTCTAACCAGGAGGGTTGGGGTGAAGTTAAGAAGATGAAATTCCAGGCTGTCGAAGGGGAAGCTTCCTAACGGTGAGATCTACCTGCCAAGGGAAATGGGGGAGGCCCCATCATTTTGGACACAGAAGACTGTACAAGCCACTACAGTATGCAATCTTGTTTACTCCCCTATGCCAAGGGATAGACTAGCTGACCTACAAAACAGGCCTTGCCAATCTTTGGGGTATGAGAGTCTTTCCACCGACTTCAGTGGGCTTTGGCTCAAGCCCTTCATAGCCACGATTACGGACTGTGCTGCCCGATTCTACCATTAGAACCTCACTCAGTTTAAACAAAGCTCTAGGACGGGGCAAGGAGAATGGAGAGAAAAAACCTGCAGAAAGGGTCTAGGCTAAAGGAGTTTGTTTGGCAGGATCTCTCTGAAAGGCTACGGTTCTGCGGGAGACAGTAGCTCGGGCAGCACAAGACCATTTGGGGGCGTTGTGTACAACAGGATCAAGGTGAACACACGTGACAACCTACGTTCTCCTTTGGCATGGAGGTGCTGCTGCTGTCTGTGTCTCTCGTTGGCAGTTCGCGCTCTTGGACGGGAGATTTCAGCTCACCCAGGTCGCTGTTGAGTGCTGGCCCTGACGGGTCAGAAGGCAATCTAGGCGAACTAGGTGGAATCACAGCAGTAGAGGAGAAGTCACTAAGGTCAGAGAATTCCACAGCAGGCCTGGCATGGGAGAGCTTGAGAACTCTAGTCGTACTGGGATGGATGGGGGAACCGGTTGGAAGAACGTGGCTGGGCCCAGGAGTTGAAGCTGGGTGTAGCACGTGAGCTGCAGGAGCTGGAATCTGGACTTTGCTTTGAGGATCTGGAGGGGAACAAGGCACAATGTGCATTAATCAGGATGTGTGAAATGAATGGGAATTGTAAGCTCCTTCCCCCCCCCCCATACACACAATATTTCACTATTAACAATGGGAAAGTCCCAGTTCAAGGGAGAGGGTAGTCTCCACGGTAGAAGGAGTCTCTCTTATCTGGTGCCTCTTTATGAAGCCATGTTTCTTGGTTTCCTTGTACAGGGGGGGAAAATGTTATACCAGCTCCAAACAAAAAGGGAGGGGAGGAGGTCATTCTGCATTAGGACTGCCAGACACGAAGTGCGTTGTTAACAAACCATGTGTGCAACAGGGGTCTGAGCCAAAGGGCCCTGATGTCAATGGAAAGACGCCCCCCCAGTGACTTCAGAGAGCTTTGGAGCAGGCCCATGAAAGAGACCGGGAGTGTGACTGTGGGGCACAGGGTGATGGGTTTAACGCGGAGGTTCTTGAGTCTGAATTACTGCAAAGCGGATAACATGGGGCTGCAGCTTCAGCCATTCAGAAACCCCAGCACAAAGGTAGAGTAGCCACCTTACCCCTGAGCCCCGCAATTCTACATGTGGGATTCAACCTCATTTGAGGTTCTCAAACTTCACTGCACTGTGACCCCCTTCTAACAACAAAAATTACTACAGGACCCCAGGAGAGGGGACTGAAGCCTAAGCCCGCCCAAGCCCCGCCACCCTGGGGGGGCAAAGTCCAAGCCCTCAGGCTTGGGCTTTGGCCCTGGGCCCCAGCAAGTCTAAGCCAGCCCTGGTGATCCCATTAAAATTGGGGTCACGACCCACTTTGGGGTCCTGACCCACAGTTTGAGAACCGCTGGTCTAATGAGAGACACTAAGGAATGGACTCAGGTCAGGCATTTAGTAACCTCCATTGTACTATAATCTGACCTAAGAGGTTTGGTCAATTCCAGGTAGACAGGTAACTGGAAATACTACACAGCATCCTCGGTAACATCCGTCTGCTGCCAACACCATGCACAGCCTCACCCTTCACACCCCATCCCTCTCCCCGTCCTCCCACTGAAAGGTAGTAAGGGCTCCATCTTATAGTTCTCTTTTCTACCTCCCACGTTGATGAAACTCGCTGGCTCCCAAACTCATCTCTCTAGTACCTTCAGGCGCTGAGCAAGGTGTTTGGCCCTTGGCCTGGACCACAGGGAGCAGCTGGATTGACCAGAGTGCTGTGGGACTCTCTCTTGGTTCTGTCTCTCACAGCGCTCTGGTGCGTAACACAACTCTACAACCTGGACCTACTGCTGGGGAGAGTCTTTGTAAAGAAGTCAGCTGGGCTGGTACAGATAGCAACAGTCACATTCACTCTCTTGTTACAACCAGCATCTCCACTTTGCAGGGGTTCATGGGGAGCCATTTTTTGGTTTTGGTTCATGGGAGGTCGACACCTCCCTCTACTCCGAGTTCAAACCCGAATCGAAACTCAGCCCAAGCAGCCAAGTTTGGCTTGGTCTCAGGTGGCATCACCACATTTGGCCTGTTTTTCCCCTGGCAGCGCAGGTTGGCAAACCTATTGACAAACCGGGCCCAAGTCTCAGGTGTGTAACTAGGCCAAGAGACTGTCCCTCAGTTTTGGGTGTACATCTGTTTCCTACAGGGAAATTGTACTAACAAGTTACTTTTGCCTGGGGCCCAGGCACTGGGGGGAGGAGGGCTGTGAATTCAGAGACACCATGGGAGGGACCCTCTCTCGACACAGGCAAAGTCTGGCTTTAGCCTTCTGGGTGGAGCAACAGGAAACTCCAGGACTAGCAAGGTGGTCAGCCCCATTCCTCCCTGTCGCACTTACCCCAGGTCCCATCTTCCCCTGCTAGCACATCGCTGGGAAACCAGTGGCGGCTCTGTGCTTCAAAACGCACATGGTGCTGCCTCCTTCCCCAAGCCTGGCACAGCCTTGGCCCCACCACAGCATTGATGAGCTGTGAGGAATCCAGCTTTGGCCGCTCTTAGCCAGCGAGTGGGCCAGCCAGTTTCACGTGGAGGGGAGTGGTACAATACCAAGAACAGCCTTGCATTGATTTGGATGCACCTCTAAGTGTACCTCCCCGCCCCTAACAAATTCTGCTTGGGGGTAGGAGAAGCCAGTGACATACAGACACTGCAATTCCCACTGCAGCTGGAAGCCAGTGCAATTTTGATCACAGGTTTCAATGGCCCCAACTCATCCCCGGTGTTGAAGATGCTGCCCCCTTTGCAGCAGGACCAGACTAAAATGCCCCTGTGTGAATACTGATGGGGAAAGCTCTTACCCCTGCTGTTTGCCGGTCCACTGGCAACTCCCGGGGTATCTGCTAGGCACCCTCCCGACCGTCCACCACAGTGGGAATTGATGCTGCTACCTGGGTTCTGCTCAGGAATCCCCTGGGAAGGTCCCGTGGAGGGGCCTGAAGCCAGTTTTTCAGAGGAACTGGCCGAGCGTGTTGTGCCGAGATGTAATGCTCCCAAATCACGAGCAGTCGCATCCTCACTGAGGTCCATGGGGATTGTGCTTGTTGTCTGAGAGGCAGGCACTGATCCGATTGCAGAACTAGAGTCAGCCCTTCCTTTGATGGCTCCCACATCACCATAACTGCATGTGCTTTGTGCAGAATCTCTGATTTGGTGTAGGGGAAACGCATCCCTCTCTCCGCCATGGTCTCTCTGTCCCTGGGCACGTTTCTGCTCTGCATCAAACTGGGTCTGCAGGAGGAGAGGGTCATGAACATCCACCATGCTGCTCGTCAGGTTCCTATTCTCGTAACCCTGCAAAGCCTGAATCTTCTGTTCCCGGAGCGAATCTCCAGCCTGCTGCCTATCCCCGTGGACAGCTCTGTTGGCACCGGAAGCCAGGGGAGAGCGCTCAAAAGAATAGTAAACCTCTTCTGGCTGGTTCATGAAATCCTCTGGGCTAGGAGCGGCGGCCGGTTCCCCTCTCTGAACAGGCTCTCCAGGCACGGATGCCTTTCTGCTGTTCCCAACGTTCAGGTGATTCATGTTCCCAAAATACCCACCGCTCACACAGACCGGATGCTGCTGGCGGCCGGCCCAGTCCTGACTCTGTCCTCTTGGGTCGGGTACTGGTCTGCCTGGCTGAGCCACTTCCACCTCTCCTCTGGGCATCCCCCCACAAGCCAGCAGGTGTCCCGCTGGTGATCCAGGAGATAAATGGACTGCTGCTGGGGCCAGACCATCTCCATGGTTACTGCCTTCCTGTGATGCCCTGAGATCAGCTAGTGCTGCGTTCCCAGCGGGTTGGGAACTCGGAGCTTCCCTCCATGGGGTCAGGGCATCTTCTGTAACCTGACAGGAAAACCAAGATGTGTTTAGACCATAAGAGAATTATTCTCTGGGCCCAAATTGGGACGGGGGCTCCCTCCGTGCGAGGCGCTGGACAGACAGACCCCCAGGCCTTGTTTTGACCCAAGTGTTCTGAAGGAGACGGAGCCCTGGTGTCCAAACTCCTCTCTCCACAGTGCTGCCTCTACCCCTAAGCCCCGGTTGACAGGCAGGGCCCCTTGGAGGGGACGTTTTACCCTGGTCGCTGAACTCCGGAGAGAAGCAAGGACCGAATGGACATGGAGACTAGCTTTCCTCCTCAGCCTTGGAGGGAGTCGCTCTGGGTTCCCCCCTGCCTCGAGGCCTGTGGGAATTAGAGGGTGACAATCCAGCATTTCCCTAGCACCGAGATCGCCTTTTAACCAGAGGGAATCGCCGTGTGCTGGGGCATGCAGAATGGAACAGCTACATCCGGAGAGAGAACGTGACTGACAGGGTACCCGGCACATGCTGCAGCCACTTCTCCATGGCTGGAGCGATGGCAGCACCAGCCGGAGAGAGAGAGAAGCAAAGGTGGGGATCAGGCAGCTGGCTGTAACAGCCTGAATCTCTGGACCATGTGCACCAGACTGAGGCGCATCTGCTTTGGATGGAACGGGAGCAGTGCAGGAGCCAGGGATGCTGGCACTGTGCCACCTGAGTGCTCCCGCACCCTGCGGGGCAGCCCGATCTGGCTGCTTCTAGCCCCTTTGAGCGGTCAGAACAGCGCAGGGGGGCTGGGACACAGGCAGGAACTCGGCCCAGTTTTAAGAGTCAGGTTCTTGTCAACCAAACCCAAGAGATCTGGCACCACAGGACACTCTCAGAGACCAACAAACCTTTTGCTTTGCCATCGGCTCCATTTCTTGCACAGGAATATTGTATTCTCCCAGGTCGTGGCAGCTTTCCGCTCCTGACGGATTCGTCTGGAGAGGCAGGGGTGTGCCTGGCCCTGGGAGACTTGCTGGCTGCCTAGGCAACAGAGGAGTGTGGGGATTGTTCGCAAAGGTGGGGCCAGCGTGCCGAGGATCAGGATTAACAGTCAGTGGCGGCATCCGAGAGCAAACGGACGCGTAGCTGGGCAGAGAGTTATTCACTGCAGGAAGTGGTGCCTTGCTCCGAGGACCTACAGGAAGAGTGAGCACAGAATATTTGAAGTGATGGGTAATATGGGAGATGGGGAGTACCGGCAGGGGTTGACTTTAGCACTGGAGTGGCCCTAGAGGGGAAGCGTTCTGTCTAGTCAGAGGGAAACCAGGCACCGCCAACAAAGGTACCGTCACTCAGAGGGAGAGAGCAGTTTTCACTCTCCGTGGCTCATTTAACCCCCCAGCCCTCAGCTGAAACAGTCAATGAACAGTTGTTGTCACTGTGACAGCACTTCCTGTGAAATGGACACATCCCCTAGCAACCGGGCTGAGACCCCACCTCATCTCACCTAGGCTACGGAGCATTTATATCTGTTTGGCACACCAAGCCCTGGCTCATTACAAAAAGATACGAGTTCAAATACAATCTATACACAGGGCAGGGCACAGATCACCTCCAGAGAAACCAAGAACTACTGACCTCCTGCAGAATCCTCTCCCAACTCAGCCTCCACCCCCTCGCTGATCAGCCAGGCGCCGCTCCAGGGGAGCAGATGAGGAGAGGGGCTTGCAGCGTCCCCTGAAGCTCAAAGCCAGGCTGTAGCACGGGTGGATTCCAGAAGGTGACCTTATTGCCACCAGACCTCTCCCGTTTGTCCCTGGAAGGGACCGTTAGCTTGAGCACCAGAGCCAAGCATGCCAGGACAGACAGGATCCTGCACTGAACCCCTTTGCCTTCATGAGGTCCCATTCTACCACACCACTCATCCAACATGGACTTGCTAGAATGTGAAGTGCCCACGGTCCATATTTTCTATGTGGATGATGCTCAGGGTTCTCTCCCCATCTTACCCAACCCACTGGTGTGTGGCAGTGGCATTTACCCCATGCCTAGCAGAGACGGAAGCTTGGACAAGGCTTAGAGTTAGCCCATGAGCAAGCGCTCGTAGGTTGGCCGAGGCAGTCACAAGACCTGGTGAGGTTTATTGCTGCTCCCTGCACTGAGTGAGTTTGCCGGATGTTTGTGACACCAGTCTGCAAGTTGGAAGGAAAAATCACAACCTGCTTGAAGGGGGGCCAGACCTCACTACAGTTATGCAGGTCTCTGTCACCTCGCGTCTGAATTACTGCCAAGCGGACAACATGGGGCTGCAGCTTCAGCCATTCAGAAACCCCAGCACAAAGGTAGAGTAGCCACCTTACCCCTGTGCCCCGCAATTCTACATGTGGGATTCAACCTCAGTGATTTGGGGTGCCGGCTTCCCGCCCCTCTCCTTGGGCGGTGCCACTGCAGAGGAGATCAACTGAGCAGCTGGGGCCAGCAGCCCGTAGGTTTTAACCAGGGGAAGGGGCAGATGCTGTTTCTGAGGAGAAGCCCTCAGCTTTGGAACCTGCTAGCACAGCCAGGACCTGCTGACTTCCAGAGCAGATGCATCACCAAGCTTTCAAGAAGGAGGTGGATCGGGAGAGGGGTAAGTGGGTGAAAGGCTGGGGTTAATTTATTAACCCTGCGGGCAGGAGGGATGGAGGAGTCAGGCTTTGTTACTGGTGCTGGTCTCTACAATTGATTGGAGTTGTATATTTAAAACATACACCCTCCTAATGACAGCAGTGATCGCTCCAAAGAGAGACTTCCAGGAAATGGGAAAGAAACAGTATTGTTTCAATGGAGGAAGGATTGCCCAGTGGTTAGAACATAAGACCAGCCATACTGGGTCAGACCAAAGGTCCATCTAGCCCAGCATCTTCCGACAGTGGCCAATGCCAGGAGCTTCAGAGGGAATGAACAGACCAGGTAATCATCAAGTGATCCTCCCCTGTCGCCCATTCCCAGCACTAGCCTGGGTCTTGGGAGCCCAGAGTTCAAATCCCAGCTCGGCCACAGACTGCCAGTGTGACCTGGGCAAGTCGCTTAGGGCCAGATCCTCAGAGGGGTTTATTCGATTTCAATGGGAGTTTGGTGCTGAAACCGGCTTCGGAGCTTTCGCAAATCCCACGAGGTGTCTACTGGCAGCTTTAGGCCCCTCTGACAACCTGGCCCCCCTCTACCTAAGGGATAAGAGGCGTTGAGATACCGTGGTGATGCTCGAGAGAGCCCCAGGGCCGAGCAGTTAAGGGAGCGCAGCAGGTACTAAGGGACAGGTACTGCAAGGCAACTTACCGACTTGGTGAGCATCGTACTTGCGCTGAACCCTGTCTGCGAGATCATGGTGCCTATTCTTCCTGAGTGCCTCAATGAGCTCCTTCACCCAGCCACTCCTGCATTTCAAGTAGTCGAAGAGCTTCCACACGGCGTGCTCGTTCCCTTTCCTGTCGTCGTAGGCTTCGATCTCTTCCTAAAAATCAGCAGGGAGAGAACACTGAGAAAGGGGCCGGCTAGGGGGCGTTTCATCAGTCCCAGCAGGAGTCAGACAAAGCTCTCGGCAGCTCAGCACCCGGGGTCCCGCTGAGACAGAGGAATTTAGCCAGGAGTCAGCTGGCAGGGCTGCTCAGGGCGAGATGAAGCTCCGGGGAGGCGAGGCCCCGTCATGAAGTCGCAGCGCAGTTTGGCAGAGTTCTGTGTTGTGCACTAGGAGGTGGCCCCGAGGTCAAGTAGCAAGGGGAATTGCAAGGCAGGATGGTAACACGTCTGCGCAGAGGCAGGACAAGCAGGGATGCCGCAGGGCAGGAGTGGGGAGCTCGGAAAGGAGGGATGCCAGAGCAGGAGGGCTGGAAGCAGTTACAGCTCACACAACCTTGAGCACCCTCCAGGCTGTACCCTACATCCCACCTCCCTATCGGGAGGACTGCAGCCAGCAGGAGCTCTGGACATTGGAGAAGGCTGGAGAGCAGCAGGAGCAGAGGGAGGAGGGAACAGAGTAAGGAATGGGGGGGCAGAAAGGGGCACTATTTTTCAAACCCTGCTGTACGGCTCTCCCTTTACCTTTCAAGGTTTTTGGGGTGGGGGGGGAGGGAAAGCTAAGGGGGGGGATCAGTGACTGAGGCTCAGCCGCCCGCCTGCTAGTCAGAATAGAGCCGTGCATGCCAAGACCATAGTCTCCATGAACTGCAGTGGCCACAGGCCTACAAATATATTAACCCTCCTCCTTCACAGTTTAAGCCGATCACGATTAGGCATCAGGAGGAGACCTTTCTGCGGGGATAGACTATCCCACCTCTGCCCCCTGCAGGGTTCTTGCACCTTCCTCAGAAACACCTGGTGCTCCTCGCTCTCAGAGACAAGACACGGGACCAGAAGCACCTGACCCAGTCTGGCAGTTCCTTGGTTTCCTAATTCCACGGGTTATTGTTAACCAGCAGGGCGCACTGGTTGGTTACCTGCAACCGGGCTTCAGGCAGAGCCTGTCCCTGAGATGCAGACAGAGAGCCCAGGCTGCAGAAAGCAGCGCCCTGCTCTAACTAGACAGAGACTTACTGTAGGGCAGCAGCTATAGACGCAGCTGCCACAAAACACTCCCACACCTAGTGGTTTTCTCCCTCTTTCTTACCACACACAGAGCTCAAGCCAAGAATTCTTCTTTACTGGCAGCACAATCCACACACAGAGAGAGAGACAGACTCCTTAAAAACAAGACAGACTTCTCAGGTGTCCTGCCCAGGACGGGGGCGTTTCATGCTGGGGTTGGAACTGGACATGGCAGGAGTGTCCACGGCTGCTCCAGTGACAGATTGCTGGGTAACATGTCATCTCTGTGTCTCCCGTCCCCACCCCTCATCACTTTTCAATATTAAAAAAATATATATCTGAGACTGTATTGTGCTCCCTCCGAGTTACGATTCTGGCATCAGTGTCCCACTGGCTGCATGGCTACTCCTTCTGGGTTTGGACTGGGCTTTATGCCTCCCAGTATCCACCTCTAGTTTGCAGCCACCAATTCTGTATCTGGCAAGAGACTGCCTTAGTTTTGCACATCACCCTGTGATGAGGGATCTGGAAGTGTAACCCACTGGCCAGCATGCATTATGTGTCCCGTCTCTGTGCCTGCACCATACAGGGTGTGAGCCTAGTTCCATGAGAGACTTGATTCTTTAGCTCAAGCTGTAGCAGTTCATGCTTCTAGCTCTGGAGGTTGCAAGTTCGATCTCCAGCCTGTCGGGGTTGATAGTTCTGACCAGGAATCTAGAGCAGTCTAGCTTGTTGTTTTCTATTTGTTCTTCCCAACTATTCGTACACTGGTGTTCTAAGCTTTGATCTAGCACAGTGTTTCCCAAACTTGGGATGACGCTTGTGTAGGGAAAGCCTGTGGCGGGCCGGGCCGGTTTGTTTACCTGCCGCGTCCGCAGGTTCGGCCGATCGCGGCTCCCACTGGCCGTGGTTCGCTGCTCCAGGCCAATGGGAGCTGTTGGAAGTGGCGCGGGCCGAGGGACGTACTGGCCGTCACTTCCCGCAGCTCCCATTGGCCTGGAGCAGCGAACCGCGGCCAGTGGGAGCCGCGATCGGCCGGACCTGCGGACGCGGCAGGTAAACAAACTGGCCTGGCCCGCCAGGGGCTTTCCCTACACAAGCGGCATCCCAAGTTTAGGAAACTGATCTAGCCCATTGAGCATTTTTCAGTTTTGGGTGAAGCTGTTGGTTCCGCGAGACAGGAGGTTAGAGTTGTGGAGGGATGATATCTACTGTCACCCCACCCCCTTTCCCACACATGTGCACCTGAACTAGCAAGGCAGGTTCAAAGAAAACAGAGTTAAAGAATAAAGAAAGAATTACCCTGTCTGCATCAGAGAGACACGGCAGATAGCGAATCAGCTGGAGCACCCGGATGTGATGGAATTCGGACATATATTCCCTAATGTACTCATAAACCTTGTCCTCAGCAAACCCCATCTTTGCTTCGCACCTAGGAGAGAGAAGATCAATTCAGCAAAAAAAACAAACAAACAAACAAAAAAACCACACAGCTGTTGTTATTAGTTAACTTTTATATTGCAGGTTGGCCCACTGTGCAAGGCACTGTACAAACACAGGAAAAACAGATGGTCCCTACCAAAAAGAGCTTACAGTCTCATAATAATAATAATTGGAGCTGCTCAGAAAATTTTTATTGAAAAAAAATCCTATGAAAAATTAAAACTTTTTCTATTAAAACTGTGCATCTAACAAAGGGATCGGCAGCCTTTGGCACACGGCTCGTCAGGGAAAGCCCCTGGTGGGCTGGTTTGTTTACCTGCCGCGTCTGCAGGTTCGGCCAATTGCAGCTCCCACTGGCTGCGGTTCACCGCTCTAGGCCAATGGGGGCTGCAGGAAGCGTGGAAGCACATCCCTCGGCTTGCGTGTGCATTGCTTGATTTTTCTATCGCAGGTTTTTGGGGGAGGGGGGAGGGGAGATATCATTTGAGGTTTGCTCTGTTTTAAAAAGGGCATGACACAAATGTTTAGCATCGGACATCTTCACAGGCTTTTTCACAGCAACTACAGCACTTTGAGCAGGGTGAAACTGACAGGGGTGAGCTCTTGGCTGAATTACTGCAGAAAGCTGAAACTCCATTTCCTGTTACTAAGCAACTCCTTTGATCAGAACTACTGATGAGTTGAAGCTACTTGCTTTTCTTTCATCACACCGAGGCTATGTACACACTACAGCTTAAGTTGACATAAATTATGTCCCTCAAGGGTGTGAATTAGCTACCCTCATCATTTATGACGACGCAAGTGCAGGTGTGGACAGTGCTATGTCCACGGCAGAGCTGCTCCCGCCAACATAGCTACCATCACTCATGTGCGGGAGGAAGGGGGGGGAGGGAGATGCAGGCCTGCCTGTAAAGGCCTGTACTTTAGAATTTAGGTGTATTTTTATCATTTAGCTAGTTATAGAATAGAGGTATAAAACAAAGAATCAAAATCACAGTCCGCCTGTGTATGGGCCTTCTCTCACTAGGATAGTCTGAGGCCTTGTTCTTTGGCTAAGTAGCAGGGGCAGCCATAAACTGGGAAGCGTACGGTCATATCCTCCCATTCCAAACCAGCCACACTGAAATAAGGTGGTATTGGACTGTTAGGAAGATGATCCTGTCCTGATAGTGCCCATCAACAACCAGATAAAGTAAGAGATCTTAAGATGGTTAAAGAAAACGTGGTTTGATAGCATCCTGTCTGGCAAGAAGTCACCTATCAATGGTTGTGGTTTCCTGGATCCCAACAGGATCAATGGTTGTGAAACCCTCATTTCTGTATTGTTTTATCTTTATGGCCTCCACTTTTCTATTGTTAATCTGTCTGGTGCTTTAATTTTTGTTAGCTGTATAATGAATTTTGCTAGATGTAAGTGAATTAGGGTAGTGGGATATAATTGGTTAGAGAATTATGTTACACTATATTAGGATTGGTTAGTTACATTTCAGTAAAATGACTGGTTAAGGTATAGCTGAGAATATTACTATATAAACTGGGGTCAAACAGGAAGTGGGTGGGAAAATTGGAATCATGCTTGCTGGAAATTAACCCCAATAAACATTCCATTGTCTGCACTTCGGACTTCTGGTCTTTTGCAGCTTGCTGTCTGCGTGACAAGAACTAGGGAAGTGGGAGGGTGGAGGGAAAGCCCTCTAACAGGGGGTTCGAGTAATTAAGTAATTAGAGCAGCTACATTAGAGCTTACAGCTGTAAACTTTAGTGTAGCCATAGCTTCAGTCCTACCATTCAGGACACAGGCAAGGAGCATGCAGCATGATTACATTGCCCTAATGCTGCTGCTTAGGATATGTCTACACTACTGGTTATGTTGGCAAAACCCAAGGATGTGAATATTCCACCCCCCTCAGAGATGTTACACTGACATAAGCGCTAGTGTGCCCAGCACTATGTTGGCGGAGACAGAGCTTCTGCTGCTCGTGGGGGTGATTTTATTATGCTGTCATAACTATAAAGGGAAGGGTAACAGCCCTCCTGCGTAAAATACTATAAAATCCCTCCTGGCCAGAGACTCCAAAATCCTTTTACCTGTAAAGGGTTAAGAAGCTCAGGTAACCTGGCTGACACCTGACCCAAAGGACCAATAAGGGGACAAGCTACTTTCAAATCTTGGCGGGGGGAAGGCTTTTGTTTGTGCTCTGTTTTTGGGGAGTTTGCTCTTGGGACTGAGAGGGACCAGACATCAATCCAGGCTCTCCAAATCTTTCTGAACAAGTCTCTCATATTTCAAACTTTTATGTAAACAGCCAGGCAAGGCGTGTTAGTTTTATCTTTGTTTTCTCAACTTGTAAATGTACCTTTTACTAGGGTGTTTACCTCTGTTTGCTGTAACTTTGAACCTAAGGCTAGAGGGGGTTCCTCTGGGCTCTTTAAGTTTGATTACCCTGTAAAGTTATTTTCCATCCTGATTTTACAGAGATTATTTTTACCTTTTTCTTTAATTAAAAACCTTCTTTTTAAGAAGCTGATTGATTTTTCCTTGTTTTAAGATCCAAGGGGTTTGGATCTGTACGCACCAGGGAATTGGTGAAGAGTCTCTCAATGCTACCCAGGGACGGGAATTAGCACATTGGGAGTGGTGGCAGCGGACCAGATCTAAGCTGGTAGTTAAGCTTAGAAGTTTTCAGGCAGGGCCCCACATCTGTACCCTAAAGTTCAGAGTGGGGAAGGAGCCTTGACATGGTGGCAGAGCAGTGGGATCATTTTAAACCAAAAGCCAGTAAGATGTTTTTTTCTCCTTTCTAGCTGCTTGGAAAGCAGAGCTGAAGGCAGATGCATATCTTATCTATCCTTACCTGAATGCAGAGGTGTTAAGTTTTTTTAACAAGGGTCTTTGTTAAGAGAAGGGTTCAAGTAGTGAGCAATCAGCTGGTAAAAGGAATTTACAAGCTGAATTGTTTTTTTTCTTTTGGGGATAGCTAGTTAGAAAGTCTCTGTTACCTAAGCAGCCCTGAGCCGAGTGCATCCCAGTTTCAGTGAACTGCAGAGGGGTGTGGCCCAGCCCAAGAAAACAGGAAAATGACTACCAGTGAAGCAGCTAACAAACTAGAATTGGCCAGACTAGAAGCAGAAGAAAATGAAAGGAAACATCAGAGACTGCTCCAATTAAAAAAACTCGAGAAAGAAGCTGATGAGAGAGCTATGGAGCAGAGAGAAAAAGAGATGGA